ATCGCGGCAGAGAGCCGCCCTGAGAGAAGCGGATTATTACATCCGCGGCCGCGCGAGAAACTCGACCAAGTCCGATTTACACATGAGAGCGAGGGGTTTACGCGACGTCTGCCACGGTCTGAGAGCGATTAGCGGGACACCGAGACGAACACTTGCGCGACTCGCTTTCCGCGATCATCGTTGACAAAGGCGAGACAGAACGAGAAAAAGAGAACGAGAGAGAGAGAGAGGGAAAAAGGGGGAATTGAATGAACAACGTTTACGCGGAAATAGCCCGCTTTGAATGGCGGACAAAGCGGGGATATGTTTTTTTTTTTCATTTTCGTTCGCTTCGGAGGGAATTTATCGGTAGGGGGACGCCGTATCGCCGTTATTTTTACAGAGTTTCTTGCGAGCGTCGAAAAAATGCTAACTTTTTTGCCGAGGCAGATACAAAACGAGCCCTGTGACGTAACGTGTGGGATGGTCGGTGAAAAACGTGTGTGTGTGTTGCGGGGATCGTCTCTGCAAGAAAGAAACATCTCGGGAGGAATCGTGTATTTCGAGAATAGGTATTTTCATCTCTGCCGTAAATACGGAGTGAAGTGGCGCGATAGACAGTGCGTCGCCCGTGTTTCGGCCGCACGAGGTGAATCGACGCACAACGAACGGCCGCCGCCGCCTCGTGAGACGTCGTAAAATCCCGTTAGCGCGCTGATAAAGTGAACTTATTTCGCTTTTTCGCGGAATTGATCAGTCGTCGCGAATCCGTCCCGGACTCTTTCCCAGGAACGCGACACGTGTCGTAGTTGAAAAATGTGACTTTACGAGTGCTTCAGAAATTGGTTCCGCTTCGCCTTTGTCTCAGCGAGACGTGTCGTGCCCTTTTTCCCGCGTGCGCGCGCTACCTGCGCGCAGAGCAGCGCCTACACCTGGCGTAACGGCATTTAACGCGAAGGAAGTCATAAGCGTTGATTTACCATTGTCACGGCCGTTACTCTCTCGCGAGAGAACATTACGATCGCCTGTCGCAATTCGAGCGTGGCAATGCGGCGAAACCGGCGACCGGTCGATCGGCCGGTCGGCCAACCGACCGACCGCCGCGCCGCACCCGCACGTAGTTATATTCGTAGTCCTCGTACTCTCTTCCTTCCCTGCGCGATCTCGCGCAGGCCAAGTATGTACGCGGAAAAGAAACGAGTTGCACTCGGCCGACTGCCAGACTATATTTATCGCGACGTGCCGATTACATCTGTAAAAAGTCCCGTGGGAGCGGAGAACGCAGATCTCGCGGAGCCGATTGAACGCAAAGGCACCGCGGTGGGGGCTCCGTCGCACCCCGCCCGACCACGCGCGTGTCGAGTGCGTCTTCCGATTCAAAGGCGAATTTATCAAACGCTCTATAAATTTATCAAGATTAAGTACCAACGCGTGGATTGATTTTTAAAGATAGCAATCACCAGTTGTAACGAAAGCGAGAGAATGGCGTGAAGTCTTGTAGACGGTGCTTGAGCAAGCGTGCTCGGTTCGGGGGGGGGGAGTGAGGCGAAGGGATGAAGATGACGGTGTTGGCGATACACGGTAAAATACATTTTCTACTTGTGTTGAAATCAATATTTCAGTATCGATTGACATATCACGGATATTAATTTTATGTGAATTTTTTATATAATATTTGTGCCGATTTTCAATATATTTATCTTGTGTCAAATTGACAGAAAAATTTGTGTGGGCCGTTTGGGACATGTGAAATGCGTGAAATTTAGCGCGAAATATTTTACTGTGCAGGTTTGATAATGATATCATCTAATCGACCGTTAATCCTTACAAAGAATTTGCAACGATAATTCTTTAGCGAAAGTGTAAGTGTTGAACGGTTTGCTCGAAGAGTCTCGAATGTGACAGGTAATGAGGCGACGTATCGGATTTGGAAAGCGACATCTTTCGCGGAATCGTTCTGTCGAAACCGTGGAAAAAATAACGCACTGAAAGAGCGACACTGAAATGCTCTCAGACGCTAGTCAACTTAAAGAACCGCGGCCGTTTGACGTCATAATTTCACGCGCCGGCCGATCGATGTTCAGGTGAATTGTGATTTAATTGGCAAGCGAGGAATTAACACGGCAAAGTGGACCACTGATTGTCTAGGCGAAATAATAACAACGATATTCTCGTCCGCCGTCTACGTCACGGCCGTGACGTAAGCAGATATCGAGCACAAATGTGTGACGAGCGTTTGGAAATATCGGACAGACGCAAGCCGGCGATAACCCAAATCGCCTCGTAATAGCGCTCAATTATTTAACATTGCTGCTGTTCGATTGCCCGCAAATGGCGCGGAGAAGTAATTATCGATGATAAAACATTATTGCGCGAGCGAGCGGAGATCCGCCGGGTCGTTGTTTCTTAAACGAACGGCGCGATTGATATTCCTAATAAAGACTGACGCGCTCAAATATCTCGCTTAGTTCCCGGCTGAAACAGGTAATCGGGGTTTATGACACGTCGTCACCCCGAAACACGGTTATTAAAATAAAATCTAGACGACGGTGAGCGACCATAAAAAGCCGTCTACACACGAATAATGCGTCGGCGATCGTACCTTCGTGTATGTAATCGGGTTAAAACGCGTAACGGATCGTTACGTCGTGAATTACATTAATTCCGGCGAATTTCGTGTCTCTGCAACTGAAACTAACCGGGCTGCAATCTAAAAACCGCGCGAGCTAAATCCCACATATAAATAAATATTACATTTTAACGCACCTTCAACGCATATCATATTTAATTGCATGTAACTGCGCGTTGCCGAATGGAATGAATTAATATTTTATAAAATACAAATTGTAAATTGAGATATTTTATATCTCCTAACAAAACGTTCTCGATTTACAAAATTTCGGCCTCCCTTTGGTGAGGTAGCAAACGAAAACGTGCAAAATGATAGTATCTTCTTTAATCGGACCTATGTGTTTTTATCCGACTTGTATAAACGTAAAGAAAAACGCGGAGGAAACAGCCTGCATTTATCTCACGTCTGTATCATGACTGTTGTGGTCGTGCCGATGAAATTTGTAAAAAAAAAACACACCGATGTTCGAAATTAAATCTAGTTGATAAAACTTTCTCCTAACCTAACATAATCGTCTTTAAATAGATTGCGGTAAAATTTCATTTATCCCGCTCGGAACAAATCCATTCGTAACTTCCCACCTTCCTATCGATTATCAATTGATAATAATCAATCGAATTAGACTTCTGAGCGTGAGATCCCGCGATGCTTCTCAAACTAGAGATACCTGATGATATTAATGTAACGCGAGCATTGAATCATTAAGATACACGCGTGAGACCTGCGTTATCTACAAGCAACAAAGGAACGCATCTACACCGAGAAAAAGGCGGATTGGGTCGACAAAATCGGTGGTCATTCAAAACAAATATTACATCTGCTGAACGAATCACACGTTGACGCGACAATACGTTGACACACACTGGGCAAAAATATGACAATTTTATTCGCGGGGCATGTAAGGTTGAATTCCGCGGAAATATTTCTGTGAAATAAAATCTTACATCCTCCAGATAAATTTTTAAACATCTTTCTCTCAACGCAGCGGTGCCGATCAAATTGCAATCGTCGAATCAGTTGTGATAACTCGTTACAGCAGCGGCTGTATAATTTGTTCGGTGGAACTAGACGCGCGGTGTTTGGAAAACATTTTTTAATCGTTTAAGCAAAATCTCGTCGGCTCTACCACATTGTGTTTTTCTCTCCACGCACGGCGATCATCGAGAGATGACCGCGAGCGCTGAAACGAGCGTGCATCGATATTCGCGCATCCACCGCCGCCGCCACCACCATTACCACCCACCATCGTCATCTTCATCATCACCACCACCACCACCACCACCGTCGTAACCATCACCACCAGCAGCGAACAGCTTACGGGAGAGAAGGTGTGGGAGATATCCCGCGATCTTGCGCGATATTTTTTTGGCGCGACTGACTTACACTTGTTCCAATGATCGTGGCGTTGCGCCGCGCCGTGGTGCTCGAGGTTCCGGTGATGGTCGTGGTTGTTGTTGGTGTCCGCCGCGATGGTGACCTGGTGGTACGGGGTCGCGGTGGCCACCAGGTGGATCGACGCCGCCGACCGCTCGCGATCCTGCTGCTCGCCGGCGGCCAGGTGGCGGGTGGCAGCAGCGGTGGCGACGACGTCGCTGGGCCCGCGGTGGTGATGATGGTGATGATGATGATGATGGTGATGCTGCTGCTGATGATGGTGGTGGTGGTGGTGGTGCGCCGCGGCGCCGGTCGCTTCCGTGCTGCTGTTCTCGACGGTACGCATCGCGCGTACGATCAGCGGCGCTACGTGCTCGCGCTTCATTCGATCGCCGGCCGGCCGCTGATCGCGCGCATCCCGCGGAGAGGGAGGCTCGTCCGTTTCTCAAAATCCCCGAGTGGTTCGTTCACCGGCTCGCCGCTCTCCGATCGGCATCGAAGGTGTGTCCGATTAGATCCCGTGCGAGGATCTAATTAGTAACGATATCGCGTCGATCGTGCGAGGCGAGAGAACGTTTCACATGGTCCGCGCCGGAACCGGTCGTTACGAATCCGCGCTCGGGGAGACGCGAAGAGCTCCACGCTCAGTGTCGATACATCCCTTTAAACGAAGCATGCGCGCCGGCTGACGGGTGGGACGCCGGGAGGGTGGGAAGGAGCGCGAAACGACCGTCGAGCAGGTACACGGGAGAAATCCTCATACACCGGCGTTCTCTCGATTGTACGCGATCGTCGGTCGTCCAACTGGAACGATCGAGCGTGCAGAGAGAAAGACAGACAGACACTGTAAGAAAAAAAAGGAGCGGAAGGGAGCACGATGAGAGAGACAGCCGGTGGAGAAGGCGCGAGCCCCACACGCGGCACACACAGAACACAGGGGGTAGCGCAGCCTCCTCGCGCGCAACAACAACGAATGAACGAACGAGAGCACACGTGATGATGATGTATCACCGACCTGCGTGCGTCGTCGTAGGGCAAGGCGAGTCCTTCCTGATGATGTCGTCGGAGGTCAGCGCCCCACCGAGGAGCCCGAACACTTCCGCCCTGGGCACTCGCATGCAGAATCCTCTTCCCCGGACGGTCGCCGTTTATCGCTGCCGCATCGTGTCGGATGACATCGTCGCTCTTCCCGTAGGAGCCGCTTCTCGAGAGCACAGTTCTTCCCGACGAGTGAGCTGCGGGCAGACGGTCCTCGCGGTTACCATTCGGCACTGTAGCGGATCGGAAACTCGCACAGGTGTCGACGCGAAGGTGCACCGTACGAACGCTCCCGCACGATCCTGAACGCGCGAAACGACCGGTGCGGAGTTTAGATGTCGAGAGAGAACGAGAGACAGGTGAAAGAGCCCAAGAGTGGAGTCTCCGAGTTGCCGAAGAGAGCGGTACACTCGACGTGTGGCCGGTCGCCGCGTAACTGAGTCCGGATCGCGCGCGTCCCTCCGCTATATTAAAACCGTGCCGTGTGTAGCGGCGGCAGCAGCGGCGAACGGTAGAGCGGGAGCGAGGCGAACGGCGCTAACGGTGACGTCACCGCGGACGTCATAACCCGGGGACGCGCACACGACAGCAGCCGGCCGGATCGATGGACCCGGCCGGAGTGAGCGCACCTCTATTGGCCCACGCGGCCGATGATGCCGCTACAGTGACGTCAGCACGCCACCCACCCTCCGCCCGTTTTCCAACCCCGCGCAAAGCCGGGACGACGGCGGCACGCGTCGCCGCAACATACGCGACGGAGAAAGATGGCGAGGGGAAAAAAGAGGCGCGTGGGAGAGAGACGGAGATATATGTACATACGTGTATATATTTCTCTCGCTTCCTCCTTTTCCCCCAATGTTTCGCTGGTAGAGACGACGGTGGCGGTTTTTTCAAGGGCGAAATCATTTTGTTCTTACCATTACGATGTTATTCGCTAGTGTACTTTCTTGTGTACGCTTCGATGTGCTAGCGGGTAGTCGCGTGGGGCCTTTTTTTCAAAATCTGTTGTAGCGCACATTTTATGTGATTATGACGTTATTTATTCGATCAGGGTTTCTATTAAATTATCTTGCAAGACTCCTGCGCTTCTCTCTCTCTCTCTCTCTCTCTCCCGATGTTTTCAGTCGGATGAGCGAATCTCTATCGGTCGCTGTTATTATGTTACGGTAATGATATTACTTGCTTTGTGTGTCCCGTACATATATATATACATATATATTCTACATACTGAATATAAAATTCCAACTCTTCGTTAATCGAATAAACCGCTCGCGCGGTGGCTTCTTATTGGACCTCAGAAAATTCTCTCCGTCAAAAAGAACGTTAAATTCGGTCCAGAATTTAACAATTTGTTACAGACAGATTCAATGATCAAATCTCTATCGTGAGAAATCCCCTGCCCCGTCATTTCGCTAAGACGATCGTTCGCTAATAAAATTGAAAATCTATTGGCATTAAACTCACAAATTAATACCCTTCTCGGGCGCCGTAAAACCGCTGTGACGAATGATTCGATTCGTTGATGATGACGATGATTTTGCAATACGTGCCGAGCCGTTAACGAACCTGCGCGGCATCCTTCTCGCACGTTGTCATAAATATACCGAGAGATCGATCTGATGGTGAGAGCTCATGTCGGTTATGGCCGGTTTTGTAATATCGACGAGAGAAAACTGCGAGAGCCCCGATACTCGTGGCTCGTGCGTGCAGCGATGCACCGGAATGCATCGGAGGCGCGCAGACGTGCTGTCGTTATTAACCTGTGACCTAGGGACGCGCAATCCAACCAACCCCGTAATGCAATCGGCCGATAGCCTGACAATTATCGCGTAAGAATGTCACGATATTTCGCTATTTTGTCCGCAATGATCCTGGACTTAAGAACCCCGGCCGCAATTACGAGGGAAATATTCCAAGGGTATTCCCTTTGCGCGTTTGCGTGACGGTTATTCCCGTCACGTAACGGACCACACTGCCGGATTATGTACTTTTCCACTTGGACGATGGAGGACCGCGGGACTTTCATCTTGTCTTGTACGCTTCTTTTAATTCCTACCCGGGGAACTTGCGTAAAGGGGAAATTTCGCGTCGCCGGGACGAACGAATTCCTCGCACGGGCCACAAGTCTCTCGTAATTTTTCAATCGCCGCTCTCGGAAGCGATCCGTCTCTCTCGGACGAAAGAAATCTCGCATCCTTGTTGGAATTCCATTAAAACATCGGATATATTCGTGGCGTGGGTCGCGGGGCGGACATCTCGGGGGCTTTAAATCATAAATATCCGACCTGATTTCATAAAACCTGCCCTCCCCCCCTGATGCACGCGGCGAACTCAATTAAAACTTTCCGCAGCGTCGCGATTGAGGCCACGCGGAAACGTTTCTCGGTTCGGGCGTCTCTCACCATCCAGACAGCGAGACTTCGATCTCGAATCCCGTCGCGCAGACTCACGACCACTCGAAACACGAAGCGGTGTGTAACAATTACGTCATCAATTCACCTGTGCCGTCACTCCGCGATGCGGAGCACGACGACGTCATCGTTTACCCCCACCACGCCAACAATGACGACGTCTACGCTGCCTGCGCTCTGGTCGGACGCTTCTGCGCGTAGGTCAGTTACAGGGGCGCAGGGCAGAGAGGAAAGAGGATTATCGGAGGGCAGACGGAGACTAGGAAGAGAGAGAGAGAGAGAGAGAGAGAGAGCAGGAGGACGCAGCAACGACGCCGTTCTTCCGTCGTCGATTTCCACCACCGCCGCCGGCGGCGGCCTCCATTCATGCATCACCCGATGCACCCCGCGCGCTCACCCACCTCTCGCACCCTTCCACACGCTTCCCTCCCGGCCCTCCCTCCCCGACGAACAGTGCACGCGTGGCAAAGCGGAGGCGTCAGCACGAGCCAACGTCGCCTCGGTTAATCAGCCGTAAAGACGAGCACACTTCGACACGTGACGAAACGCTGAGAGCTCGTGGTCGGCTCTGTGATGTCGGCGTGCCGTCACCTGTATGAAGCGACCGCTGATCCGGAAGAGCCGGCCAACGGGGTAAGGTCGACTTCGATCCGGTCGCGGCAGGGTGGAATCGGCGGCACGCCGTTCGAACGCTCGTCTCCGAGAGTGTTAAATCGAGGTGAAGAACATTAAAGTGGCTCATCTTCGAGAGAGCGCGCGCCTTAAGTACGAAGGCAACGTTTTCTCGCGCCGCCTTAATGAGCGGACGGATAAATCGCAATGCCCCTCGATGGTCTAAATTTAATTGAGCACTTCTGTGAGCGTAATGACTATGCCCAAGAACGTCTCAGGTATCATCGTTTTTATCCCAACGGGTTGAACGAGGCCTCGTGCTTACGATTTTTCAACCGGGAGATCATTGAGATTCCGACGAGGTTGCGAAATGTTAACATCTAGGGGCATCAATTTCTAAAACGCGCGAGATCGTTAACACATTTTGCGATTTTTCTACCACGGGATCATTGAGAATTCTAACGGTTGCGAAATAGTGACGTCCTGAGACTTCAATTTCTAAAACCTTCACGTTTACTCCCACATGGGGGATAACGTTCGTTAATACATACGCTACCGCGCGTGGGTCGTAAGTACGCCTCACGTTAAACTTTTTGTTTATGCTGTTTCGTACATGTTTTTTTTATCCCGAGTCTTGAACGTCGTATAATTTTCTCGCTCATAATGATTTCTGCAGTCTTATAAATATTATAATGCATATATTATAAGTAAAAAAATTGATCTCGATAACGTGGAGCGCATGCGACGTGAATGGGAAGTCGTCCAAGATCAGTCCGGCGGCGAACGCGTTACGTGCAGAACAACGAAAAATCGAACGAACTGGAGGACCGAAGTTGGACGGCGCGATTTCATCGAGATCGACCTCGTGTGTAAATTCGTAGATAAACGGACGCGCGTGGATAAATTTATTAGCACCGAGGGGATAGAGGCGTCCGCGACGACGACGCGATTGTGTAAGCGCGCAGCTGACAATGCAACGCACGATAACAACAATTGACTGACATTCACGATAATGCAACGGGCGCGATTATCGCGACGATCGTGTCGTGAGATGCACATAAATGTCGGTAATAAGATAAAGGCGGATAAAGTCATTCGCCTCTCGGCGCGAGGCGGCGGCGGGATCGCGTCGATTTCGACAAGATCGACGATGAACGGCGCGCGTATCCCCGGGCTAACGGCGCCGGAGATAATATACATTTCCAATCTGCCTCGCTATCGGCGAACACACAAACGAACACACGATGCCGTCGACTGCGTACCTCGACAATCGGCTGTCATCGATAATCCCGTAATACAACGATAGATTTTATAATTGAAATTATCCGCTCCCTCGCTCCAACGAGGATATTCGCCATCGGATTCGCCGCCAGTTACAAACGCGGCGTGTTCATTATGGCCAGTAGGTCTATCTAATATATTAATGACGAGGCGCGCAAATACCCCGATGTCGCCTTGATTAATTAGCAACCTTGGTTAACATCGGCCACCGACGATAGTTTCGAAATTACTATCGGTCACGTAGCGCTCGCGTTGCCGAGATGTTTTCTCGACAGGACGTTTAAGTATTTTTTGTCCGCCATTGGGAAAGGCTGTGTAATTAGTGGGAATATGGTGTCGCGTTATCTCCGCTTACGGTATGTATTCGTTGTTCCGTCACTCACCGGCGAAAACGTCACTAATCCGATATTAATCGCGAAGAAAAGGAAATGGAGCACACACGTGCTGAGATATTTCGGATCGCGGAAGGTTAAAGGTATTTGTCCGTGTGTGGAAGACAGACGCGGGCAGAAAGCTGACAAATAATCTATAATATGTTCCACCTCCCACGACGGTATCGGTGGATGTCCGGAAAGTTGAAAAATAGAACGTGCAGGAGACGTCGCTACACGGACAATCGAAATCGTAAGAAAACTGCGAGGTTGTTATTTAATTTATATTATTTTCACTCGAAAACTGTTGTATCGTCGACTGCATCGGTGAGAATACCAACGTATGTGGAATACTAAATATTACACAATGGCAGAAAGCATCTTCGTGTCACCCGCTTGAAGATCAAGTTCGGTCGTGTGCTGCTCCAATGCCATGGTATAATTTGTCTGTCGCTCGTAAATTTACAAGTTCGCAACACAGCATACGATAGTCACTATTCAATCGTTAGATAACTCGAATTCGTCAAAAATGCAGTTTGGTAACTTCCGAATTGGAAAGGCACAAAATAGCCCGGTGTGATTATTCGGTCGACGATAAAACTCGACGAATCATTAAAATTCTTAATGGAAACGACGGCTACCTGAAAGCGATTGGAGCGTGGTGGGACATAAGGTCGTTCGATCGATTCGCCAGAAGGAATCTTCCGGTAACGCGCAGCGCGAACGGAGGTCGCCTCTC